GTACCATTTGGATGAGTACAGGCTGTAGTGATGCAGCCTACCTAGTGTTGAGCTGGTAACAGGACTGGTTCCTGAGGGATTGCCAGCCTCTGCATGGAGTTGGTGCGCTTGGGCAACTGAGCAAGAAGAGAGAGAGAGAGACCACGATGGGGGTGGGTCAGAGTCCCATGGAGAGGGATGGGGGTGGAGGGAGGGGAGCGGCGATAGGGGACTGTAATGGGGATTTCGTTCTCGGCGACCACACTGCTGTATTGTGGGTCCCTCATTAATGAAGTGGAGTTGAGCTTTTGCTGACAGTGGAGAGGCTGTTACCACACACACTGTTTGTTAGTTCCCTGGGGATTAGCAGCAGGAGACAGCAGCCATTGTCGCTTCGACAGGAACGTGGTGAGTGACCGTGCTGTGCTGTGAAATCGTTAAATGAAATTCTGTTTAACGTTTTATCCCTTCTCCCCAGGTGCCCCAATTTGTACCAGACACACCAGCTTCCCGTATTGATCTGGCAGCTCAGTACATCACTATCAGCCGTTTGGACCAAGGTAAGATCACAGTACACCACCTTCAGTCGTCTCGTCATCGAGAGTTCCTACAGTGTGGAAGCAGGCCATTCGGCCCCTTGAGTCCACACTGGCCCTCCGAAGACCGGCCCTCTCTGCCCTCTCCTTGCATTTCCCATGGCTAATCCATCTAGCCTGCACACCCCTGGACACTAGGCGCAATTTAGCAAGGCCAATCCACCTAGCCTGCACGTCTTTGGACTGTGGGAGGAAACCGGAGCACCCGGAGGAAACCCACGCAGACACGGGGAGAATGTGCAAACTCCACACAGACAGCCACCCGAGGGTGGAATCGAACCTGGGTCCCTGGCACTGTGAGGCAGCAATGCTAACCACTGAGCCACAGTGCCACCTAGACCAAGGTGAGATCACAGTACAGTACCACCACTGTCTAGACTATGCTAGGATTGGAGCTGACCCATGTCACCACACTGGTAGCAGGCTCCCAACCCAAAACTGACCTCCCTATTCCCACTCTCTGCTTTCTCTCAGCTAACCAATCCTCAGTCTATGCCAGTTTTTACCCTCAATTCCACGCATTTTAATCCTGTTTAACTTCCTGTGTGGAACTTTAAAAGCCTTCTGAAAATCCAAGTGCTCCAAATCCATTGGGTCCTCAGTATCGAATCTTCTTTAAAAAACTCCATCATGTTTGTCAAGTGCAATTTCCCCTTCCTAAATCCATGTCAACTGTATCCAATCAAACAATTATTTTTAAAATCTCCCCTAACCACATGCTTTATAACAAATTCTAGTATTTTCTATATTGCTGACATCAGACTAACAGCTCTGTAGTTTTTCATTTAATCTCTCTCCTTTGCCTCTTAAACAGTGAGTTACATTTACCACCCTCTAATCTGCAGGCACACTTGTAGAATTAATGGAATTTTGATTCACCAATGCATCCACTCTCTCTTTAGCTACCTCTTTCAACACACTAGGGTGAAAGTCACTGGGACCCAGGGATTTGTCAACTTTCAGTTTCATTAGTTTCTTCAATACTAATGTTTTTTATTATTACAAATTAGTTTCTGTCCCTCAATTTCCCTGGACTCTTGGATCTTAATTATTTCAGGGAGACCTCTTATGCCTTCCTCAGCGATAAGAGGCACAAGCTATTTAATTAGCTTCTCTATCATTTCTCTATTTCCTATTATAATTTCTGCTGTTATTATGGATCCACACTTTGCTATTCTTTTCCTTTTTACATACTTAGAAGTTTTTACAATCCATTTCTATGTTTCCTGTTACTTTAAATTTATATTGTATTCTCTTTCTCATTTTCTCTCTCTCTCGTCAATTTCTTGGTTCTCCTTTTCTGAATTCTAAAACTCTCCTGGTCATCAGGCTTACAACATTTTTAGGCAAATGTTCTTCCTTGATCTTTTATCGTCCTCAACGTCCTTTGCTAGGCATCATGCATTTGCATTTCCTGTTGGGTATTTTAGACTTAAAGTAAAATTTGTTTCTTGAAAAGTGTTCATTCTTAAATATTAACCATTGCCTATCTACCTCCAAACCTGTTGATGTATTTTTCTAATCCACTACAGCTACTTCATCCTCACACCTTTCATAATTGTCCTTGTTTGGGTTTAAGGTTAAGATTGAACTATATAGAATTTACCATTCAGTTTGAAAAATTTCATGCTACAGTCAGTATTCCTGAAATGCGCTCTCACAACAAGATTATTAATTGGCTTTTCCTCATTCCATCTCGCTAGATCTAAAATAGCCTGGTGTCCTCGCTGATTCCTCAACAGAAATAAATCTCAAAAATATTCCAGGAATTCTTCCTCCAGAGCATTGGTGCGCATTACATTTACCCAGTCTTCATGCAGACTGGAGACACCCATGATTATTGCATTCTCCTTGCTCTATGCACCTCTAACTTACCTTTATATAGCGCCTTGACCCCATATTGTCACAAACCTTTGGAAGTGCTGTCACTGTTTTCATGTGGGAAATGCAGCGACTAACTCCTGCACAGCCTGATCCCACAAGTGGATGATCTTTATTTTGTGAAGTTGTTTGCAGGACACCCTTTTAATAACGCTGTGGGATCTTATCCATTCACTTGCAAGGGCAGACAGGGCCTGGGTTTAGTGGGTCATCCGCAAGCCAGCACCTCTGACAGTGCGGCACTCCCTCGGCACTCCACTGGGATTGGTGGCCGTGATTTTCTGTCCAAGACTCTGACTTGGGACTTTAACCTGTGGCCTTCAGATTCGGAACGTTTTCCAGTGACTCCCTGGCAGTGGTTTATCCTGTTGCTCTTGATGGATTCCTGGCCTCAGTTTGTCCCTAGTCCTCTTAGTATCCTGACCGGGCCTGGGGAGATTCCCAGGCGCTGAGCAGGATCTCATTGAGCTACTGCTGCCTGCTGACCTGGCTCTTCGACATAAAGGTTGTGGGTTATCATATTGTTCAGGTCTGACCCCAGTCAAAGAGTTATTAAAGTCTACAGCGCTCAGAAAGACCCTTTGGCCCATCAAGGCTGTGCAGGGCAAAAACAACCACCTAACTATTCTAACCCCATTTCCCAATGCTTGGCCTCAAATGCCCAGGCATTGTAACTACCGACCTAAATACAGCTTTAATGTCATGAAAACTTCTGCCTCTATCCCACAACCCCCTCCCCCCTCCCCAAAATACAGACAGTGAGTTCCAGATTCCCAGCCCAGTCATTTGCTGTTGTCTCATTGTGTGTGTCGGGGAGTGTGAGAGTGTGTGTGCGTGTGCGTGTGTGTGTGTGTGTGAGAGAAAGAAAACAGAGACGTTCTCACCTATTGAGGGGACAGAATGGCACTGATAGAATAGCAGTGTTAAAGGGCCAGCACATGTTTGATGGGCTGATGGGCCTGTGTCTGACCACTCTCCCTTTGATCTGTGTGTGTGCAGGTATTGGGCTGGTGCTGAGGGAGCTGAAGGAAGCCGGACACACCAACGACACGCTGGTGATTTACAGCTCGGATAACGGAATTCCCTTCCCAAACGGGCGGACCAACCTGTACCAGGCGGGAATAGCCGAGCCCATGTTGGTGCACTCACCAGAGCACACGGGGCGCTGGGGCCAGGTCAGCCTGTCGTACGTCAGCCTGCTCGGTATGTGCTGTGTGTCAGCCTGAGAGAGAGGCGGGGAGAGGGAGCGAGGCGGGGAGACGGACACTCTGCTTCTGGCCCTGCCCCCCTGGGGGATTGGTGGGGAGGTCTATACTGGATCGGGAGGGGGGTGGTTGGTATTGGGTGGGTGGGTTGTGGGTACGGATAAAGGCAGGGTCAGGACCAGCAGTGGTCAGGGATGTGGAGACTCTCTGTGACAGGGTGTTCCCCACCCACCACCATCTCTTATTGCACCCCCCCACCCAACTGAGTACATTGGGGGACCCCATAAGGAGCGAGTCCTCCCCCCAGCCAGCCACTGGGACCTAGGGAGGTTGACAACAGGTGACAGTGTGTGCATTCCAACCCTTCCGCCTTTTTGTCTCTGTAGATATAACTCCGACTGTTCTCGACTGGTTCTCCATCCCATATCCAACCTACAGCCTCTTTGGGAAGGATCCGGCTGTACAGTTGACAGGTCGCTCTCTGTTGCCTGCTCTCGACTCCGAGCAGCCATGGTCCACTGCCTTCGCCAGCCAGAGTCACCACGAGATCACCATGTATTACCCAATGAGAGCCGTGTACCACCTTCACTACCAGCTCATCCACAACCTGCAGTTCAAGATGCCTTTCCCCATCGACCAGGATTTCTACCTCTCGCCAACTTTCCAGGACCTGTTGAACAGGACCGAGTCTGGGCTCCCGACACACTGGGAGAAATCCCTGCGGGAATATTACTATAGGGAACGCTGGGAACTCTTCGATACCCAACAGGATCCTTCCGAGACCCGCAACCTGGCATCAGATCCGAGGTACGCGGATCTCCTGGAGACCATGAAGGGGCTCCTGAGGAAGTGGCAGTGGGTGACCTCTGACCCCTGGGTGTGCGCCCCAGATGGTGTGCTAGAGGATCAGGGGCCGTACAAACTTCATCCTGAGTGCAGGCCTCTATATAACCATCTGTAACATGCTCGAGAGAGCTGGTGGATAAAGGGAGCTTTACACTTGAGTGCTACTGAAAAAGGAAAAACCAAGTTTGAAGCCTGTCACCTGGGGAGTAAATCAGGACACACACGCAAGAATGCAAAATTTCAAAGGGAACAATAATTTATACGCTATGAGGAAAGGATGATGATTGGGTGGCAACTCAACTGTTTGGTGGAAGCATTGCTATGGAGAATGCACTAGGGAGCTGTTGTCCCACAGATCGTTCATTAATTCAAAAAAAGACACAATGACTGGACATATTCCTTTAGCCTGCAGAGGACAGGTCCCAACTGATCATCTCATTGTGAGCCTAACTGATGAGCTTAAATTGCTTGTTACTGTATTTCCTAGCTCGCTCAGGATTCTTCAGTAGGCACTATCCAGGGAATTGCATCTAGTGTTAGACACCATGTTCTGGGTTTTGTAAGACGAGGCTGATTTTGTACGGTCAGCCTGTTATGAAATTCCAAAGAGGTGTGTTGTTTGTTTGATATGACCAACTGGTGTCCCTTGGCAAATTTATAACCCATGGCAGCTCTGCAAACGAAAAGAAAAACCTTTAAGGTAATGCAGATTCAAAATACTTCCTGTTTTATAGGCACAAGGGGCTGAATAGCCTCCTGCTATATTCTTCTGTGATACTTTTATACATTCATAGAACCCCTACAGTGTAGGAGCAGGCCATTCAGCCCATCGAGTCTCACGAAGAGCATCCCACCCAGACCCACCCCCCCACCTTATAACTTTGCATTTTGCATTATCCACCTAGCCTACACAATACTGGACACTATGGGTAATTTAGCATGGCCAATCCACCTAACCTGCACATCTTTGGACTTTGGGAGGAAACTGGAGCACCTGGAGGAAACCCATAGGGACACAGGGAGAATGTGTAAACTCCACACAGTTGCTCAAGGGTGGAATCGAAACTGTGTCCCTGCTGCTGTGAGGCAGCAAGTGCTAACCACTGAGCTACCATGCTGCCCAGGAAGTTCAGATTTGATAGGATGACCCTGAGAGTGAAGAGAGAATTCTTGGACAGCAGAAATACCCAGAGCCTCGCTTGAACTGATCTGGGATGTTGGATTGGGTCAGAGTGTCCACAAGATGGAAGGTGGTGGCTATGGAGTATGTTGACACACTATAGCCAGAAATAGCAGACAGACTGACGTATTATCTAAGCATCAGTCACAATGGGACCCACTTAGAATTTGATTAACCCTTGGACAACACTAAGGATTCTACTAAAAGTGTGAGAATTCAAAGCTTCTGAGAGAACAGGAGACTGGAAGGATGCTACAGGGAACTGCAGCTTTATTGATTTTGCTTTGTTGAATAACAATTCATCAGGAATTGATGTAGCACCTCAAGGCAGGCTGTGAGAGACACCATTTTGTCAGAATGCCCCAGGAAGGTCTCTGAAAGACCCCACCCCCTCAGGGAGGGGCTCTTGGCCGAAGGGAACACAAAGAGAAAGGCTTTCGCAAATCTATAGCAGTTCTGCTGAAATAGTCCACACAATCTGAAAGTCTCTCTCTCAATCCCTTCGCTTCACAAAGATCATCTTCTAGCAAGTAACAGGCCTGCAACGACAAAAGACTGATTTTACCTTCATCCTTAGAAGTATATTTTATCCGTACCTACTTTTAATCTTTGCATCTGTATTTGAATGACGAATTATGTCACTTCTTTATCACTATTGCTGAGAATTGATAATAAATTCTGAAAATTGCTAATAAATTAATTGTTGATTTTGGACAAAAACAGAAGTTGCTGGAAAAGCCCAGCAGGTCTGACAGCATCTGTGAGGGAAAAAAACAGAGTTAACGTTTCAGGTCCGGTCACCCTTCCTCAGAACTGATGGTGGCTGGGAAAAACATCAGTTTATAGCAGTTTAACAGTTAGTTATAACGTCCATTATAATCTTTGATCTTGTTCAGGACCAAAGATTTGCTGCTGATATTTATAAATTAAAACACTGAAAAAACTCTTTTTAAAAAAAGGAAGCTAAACAAGCTATACAGATTTACAGCTCCTGTAAGGCTCTGCAGACACTCCCAGTGTGGCTTTGACAAAGCAATTAAACAAACTTTGGAAGTCCTTTTCTCGGCTTTATCCAAGTACTGTTCCACATTTCCCATGTGGAAACAGCGATGTGCTGTGGAAACACTCGTCAGTTTCACACCATCTATGGAGAGGGAAATGTACTGAGTTGACCGTGACTATTCTTTTGGCGATAAAATGTTAACTCCGTTTCTCTCTCTTGAGATACTGCCAGATCCACGGAGTTTCTCCAGAATTTTGTGGATGCTGCAAATCTGAAATACACACAGTGTTTTGCTTCAGTCTGTTTCTCATGTGTCCCCATTCTCATAGCAACATAACAACTGGAAAGGACAATCATGATCCATTGCGTTCGTGTCAAAGGTCATAGAGACTTGACCCACAACCCTAAACCATTGCTTCACCAGGGTTCACCTTTCTCCATTTCCACTGCTCCTTTCGACAGGTCAATACAACCCCAATTCTCATTCTCGCTCTCTCAAACATTAAAATGGTCTTTTTAATGCATAGGACATGGGCATCGCTGGCTGGGGCAGCATTTATTGGCTATCCCTAGTTGGCCTTGAGAAGGTGGGAATTCAAGGATTTTAAGCCAGCGATGGTGAAGGAACGGCGATATATTTCCAGTTCAGGATGGTGAGTGGCTTGGAGGGGAACTTGCAGGGGGTGGTGTTCCCATGTATATGCTGCCCTTGTCCTTCTAGATGGAAGTGGTTGTGCGTTTTGAAGGTGCTGTCTGAGGATCTTTGGTGAATTTCTGCAGGGCATCTTGTAGATCGTACACACTGCTGTTACTGAGCGTCGGTGGTGGAGGGAGGGGATGCTTGTATATGTGGTGCCAGTCAAGTGGGCTGCTTTGTCCTAGATGGTGTCAAGCTTCTTGAGTGTTGTTGGAGCTGCCCCCATCCAGGTAGAGTGATGTGAATGTCACTTGCCACTTGTCAGCCCAAGCCTGAATATTGTCCAGATCTTGTTGCATGTGAACACGGACTGCTTCAGTGTCTGAGGAGTCACGAATGGTGCTGAACATTGTGCAATCATCAGTGAACATCCCCACTTCTGACCTTATGATGGAGGGAAGGTCATTGATGAAGCAGCTAAAGATGGTTGGGCCTAGGACACTACCCTGAGGAGCTCCTGCAGAGATCTCCTGGAGCTAAGATGACTGACCTCCAACAACCACAACCATCTTCCTATTTCTCAGGTATGACTCCAACCACCAGAGAGTTTGCCCCCGATACCCATTGATTCCAGTTTTGCCAGGGCTGCTTGATGTCACAATCGGTTGAAAGCAGCCTTAATGTCAACGGCTGTCACTCTCACCTTACCTCTGGAATTCAGCTCTTTTATCCATGTTTGAACCAAGGATGTAATGAGGTCAGGAGCTGAGTGTCCCTGGCAGAACCCAAACTGGGCGTCACCAAGCAGGTTATTGCTGAGCAGATGGTGCTTGATAGCACTGTTGATGACCTTCTACCACTTTACTGATGATCGAGAGTAGACTAATGGGATGGTAACTGGCTGGATTGGATTTGTCCATGTGTTTGCAGGACATACTTGGGCAATTTTCCACATTGCCGGGTAGATACCAGTGTTGTAACTGTACTGGAACAGCTTGGCTAGAGGAGCGGCAAGTTCTGGAGCACAAGTCTTCAGTACTATTGCCGGAATGTTGTCAGGGCCCGTAGCCTTTGCAGTATTCAGTGTCTCCAAGCGTTTCTTGATACCACGTGGAGTGAAGATGAAGACTGGTATCTGTAATGGTGGGGACCACTGGAGGAAGCCGAGGTGGATCATCCACTGGGCACTTCAAGTTGAAAATTGCTGTGAATGTTTCACTTATCCCCTGACGGACTGGGCTATTTTACTGCAGGTTGGCAGCAAAATAGACTCCTAAGCTGCAGTTTATCTCCTCCGTCTGTTTCTTCTTCTTCTTCTTCCTCTTTTAATTTCTTTTTATTCTCTCGACTTCCCTCCATTCGTTGGACAGTATTGGTAATGGAGAGTTTTGCCAGTGTGCACTCGGCGGGGGGGACTCGCAGCTTCGAGGTGAAGCCCAGCACAGACTCCCTGCTTTAGAAAGACTGCAATGCTGAACTTTTACCTTTTTCACTTTTCTAATTTCTATCTAAGATTTTGAACCTAGGGATCTTTGTACCTAAGATGGCGCTGGGAATGTGTACACTTTTTGCTGTACTCCTGTAGCTCTGTATTTGAGTACAAGTGACAATAACCCTATTTCTAATTCTTCCATCATTGAGGATGGGGCTATTTGTGGAGCCTCCTCATCCAGTGAGTTGTTTAATCGTCCATCACCATTCAGGACTGGATGTGGCAGGACTGCAGAGCTTAGATCCGATCCGTTGCTTGTGGGATCGCTTAGCCCTGTCTAACACTTGCTGCTTTTGCTGTTTGGCGTGCAAGTAGTCCTGTTTGGTAGCTTCACCAAGATGATACAAGGTGCTGCTCCTGGCATACCCTCCTGCACACTCCATTGAGCCAGAGTAAATCCCCTGTCTTGATGCTAATGGTTGAGTGAGGGATATGCCGGGCCATGACATAGCAGATTGGGCTGGAGTACAATTCTGCTGCTGTTGATGGCCCACAGCACCTCATGGATGTCCAGTCCTGAGTTGCAACATCTGTTATGGAAATATACAGTACAGAAAGAGACCCTTCAGTCCAACTCATCCATGCCAACTAAATATCCTAAATAAAACTTTAGTCCCATTTGCCAGCATTTGGCCCAAATCCCTCTAAACGCTTCTTATTCATATACCCATCCCGATGTCTTTTCAATATTGTAATTGTACCAGCCTCCACCACCTCCTCTGGCAGCTCATTCCATACACACACCACCCTCTGCATGAAAATGTTGTCCCTTGGGTCCCATTTAAATCTTTCCCCTCTCACCTTAAACCTATGCCCGTCTAGTTTTGAACTCCCCCACTCCAGGGAAAAGACCTTGGCTATTTTCCCTATCCATGCCCCTCATGATTTTATAAACCTCGATAAGGTCACTCCACAGCCTCCAACACTCCAGGGAAAATAGCCCCAGCCTATTCAGCCTCTCCCTATAGCTCAAACCCTCCAACCCTGGCAACATCCTTGTAAATCTTTTCCGAACTCTTTCAAGTTTCACAACATGCTTCCTATAGTGGGGAGACCAAAATGGCGCACAGTATTCCAAAAGTGGTCTAACCAATGTCCTGTGCAGTTGCAATACGACCTCCCAACTCCTATACTCAATGCACTGACCAATAAAGGCAAGCGTACCAAATGCCTCCTTGCACTCCCAAGGTCTCTTTGTTCAGCAACACTCCTGATGACCTTATCATTAAGTGTATAAATCCTGCCCTGATTTGCCTTTCCAAAACACAGCACCTCACATTTACCTAAATTAAACTCCATCTGCCACTCATTGGCCCATCTGATCAAGGTCCCATTGTACCCTGTGGTAACCTTCTTCGTTGTCCTCGACACCATAAATTTTAGTGTCACCTGCAAACTTACTAACCATACCTCCTATACGTCCAAAACAATTATATAAATGACAAAAAGCAGCGGACACAGCGTCGATACTTGTGGCATGTCACTAGTCATAGGCCTCTGGTTTGAAAATTAACCCTCCACCACCACCCACTGTGTTCTACCTTCGAGCCAGTTCTGTATCCAAATGGCTAGCTCCCTTCCCCCCTGTATTCTATGTGATCTAACCTTGCTAACTAGTCTACCATGAGGAACCTTGTCAAACACCTTACTGAAATCCATATAGATCACATCCACCACTCTGCCCACATCAATCCTCTTTGTTACTTATTCAAAAATCTCAATCAAATTAGTGAGACACGATTTTCCATGCACAAAGCCATGTTAACTATCCCTAAGAGATAGTGGGAACTGCAGATGCTGGAGAATCCGAGACAACAAGGTGCAGGGCTGGATGAACACAGCAGGCCAAGCAGCATCATAGGAGCAGAGAGGCTGACGTTTCGGGCCTAGACCCTTCATCAGAAAAGGGGGAGGGGAAGGGGGTTTTGAAATAAATAGGGAGAGAGTGGGAGGCGGATAGAAGAGGGATAGAGGAGAGGATAGGTGGAGAGGAAACAAACAGGTCGAAGAGGCGGGGATGGGGCCAGGAAAGGTGAGTGTAGGTAGGGAGTTAGGAAGGGGATAGGTCAGTCCAGGGAGGACGGACAGGTCAAGGGGGCGGGATGAGGTTGGTCGGTAGGAGATGGAGGTGCGGCTTGAGGTGGGAGGAGGGGATAGGTGGGAGGAAGAACAGGTTAGGGAGGCAGGGACGAGCTGGACTGGTTTTGGGATGCGGTAGGGGGAGGGGAGATTTTGAAACTTGTGAAATCCACATTGATACCATTGGGCTGCAGGGTTCCCAAGCGGAATATGAGTTGCTGTTCCTGCAACCTTCGGGTGGCATCGTTGTGGCACTGCAGGAGGCCCAGGATGGACATGTCGTCTGAGGAATGGGAGGGGGAGTTGAAATGGTTCGCGACTGGGAGGTGCAGTTGTTTGTTGCGAACCGAGCGTAGGTGTTCTGCAAAGCGGTCCCCGAGTCTCCGCTTGGTTTCCCCGATGTAGAGGAAGCCACACCGGGTACAGCGGATGCAGTATACCACATTGGCAGATGTGCAGGTGAACATCTGCTTGATGTGGAAAGTCTTCTTGGGGCCTGGGATGGGGGTGAGGGAGGAGGTGTGGGGGCAGGTGTAGCACTTCCTGCGGTTGCAGGGAAAAGTGCCGGGTGTGGTGGAGCTGGAGGGGAGTGTGGAACGGAC